AAAGCCGGCCGTAGCCAGAGCCCACCACAGGGACCAGTAGAGAAGTTTCCTGGAGCTGTAGCAATCCCTCAGGTCCTTGCTCAGCTGCACCAGCACTCTGAGCATGTGATTCCGGGGCTTGGCATTCCCAGCCTGCTGTTGGGGTGTTGGGCCCCTGCCAGCGGAGTCGGAGCTCGTGTCCTCTTGGCAGCTCGAGGGACGGTCAGAATCGACCGGAGCCACAACTTTGTCAGGCCCTGGGAGAGACTGGGAGGCGTCTTTCCTGTGGAAGAACATGCTCTTCTGGGGCATGGGGAGGAAAAAGGCACACAGGAACGCCAGCGCCACGGAAGCCAGAGAAATGGCGTTGAGGTAGAAGTAGGACACATCTGCCAAGGACACCAGCAGCTGTCCCAGCACGGCGGCAACAGTGGCTGCCACCAGAGTGCTGCTCCTGCAGTAGCTCGTCACCCTCTGGTAGCGGTCGGTGCTGACCACGCTGTAGATGTAGGCGTAATAGGCCACCTCAGTGGCCGTCACCATGCCGTAGAAGAATTCCACCACCTGCATGGCCAGCACTCCGTGTGCAAAGAGGAGCAGGAGCCAGGTGACGATGAGGCTGATGCCCTGGAGGAGGAGGACGGGCTTGTAGCGCAGGTAATCTGTGAGCAGGAAGACTGGGAACAGGAGAGCGAGGTAGGAGTATGTCCAAACAGGCAAAATCTGGTTGGTAACCTAGAGCAGAAGAAAGAAGGAAATATTTAAAAAAAAAAAAAAACAAAAAACCAAAAACACATAAAATACTGATTTTTTAGATTTACAGTTCTGTTATTGAGGAAACAACATAGTTGTGGTTACAGGAAACACTGAATTATGTGAACAGTGCAGACTTAAACTGCTTTCAGTTACGTTACTGTAAATGTACTACATAAGGGGCAAATATAGTGATGCTACACTCTGCTACAGAAACAGGTGGATTGGCTTAAAAATTCCAGTAAAAGCCTATAAAGAAGGTAGATTTTGATATCTGGCTCTTTAAAGCAGTTGTAATTGTGTGTCAGAGGAAAGGCTGTCTAGCTTCAAATCCTATTCCCCACAGTAGCTGGAAATGAACCTCTGTTTAGTTTTAACTTTTTACATGAGTCATTGTATACCTTTGGTTACCTCTTCCCCTTGTTAAAATTGGACTGAAAAAACCAGCACGTGCTTTGTACAATGTAACTGGAACTGCACGTAGTGAATGTGTAGCTGCTACCAGGTTATCTGCACCTTCTATGTTTTCTTTCAGTTTAATGTGTAAGAAGTAAGCAAGTCTTTGAGGAAACAGTATTTCAGTAAGTTTCAGCTGGACTTGAGTATATAGATGCTCTGAAAAGAAATTCTTTCTCTTTTTTCTAAAACTGTTCTGCATTTGGGTTGGAAGAGGTGCTGTTTGCAGTCACCACTAAAGCTCAGTGCTTGCCCAGGCGGTTTGGGTACACCTAGGTCAGGTGTCTGCTTTTAGATGGACATCATAAAATGAGCTTTTTCTGTAAGTTGGCTGTTTTGGGGAGGTCTCGCCCAGTAATTATGGGCTCTGCTGGGGGTGTCCATTCCTGATCACTTGTTCTCTGCTTAAACAGAGACTAGAAAGGAACTGTATGAAATGCTGGAGGACAATAGTAGATGGTCATCTTTTTACTTCTGAACAGGTACTGGAGTGAGTTGCATGGTGAGCAGCTGGTTCACTGTATCTTTCTGTGTGACTTTTTTTGTTTCTCTGAACTTTAATTAGAATTTCTAAGTGTTTGACTTAAAATTGCGTTATAGAATTAGCTCACTGGAGATGAGTTTGGCTGAAAGAACTATTATCTGTACTACGCTTATTTTTGAGTTAAGGATTCTTGTTGAAATCAGAATTAAGGCATTCTGTGATCCTCGTTGTGTATTTTATATGAGAGATAAAAACTTCCCTTTGTGATTAAAAAAGAATAGTAATAAAAAAGGGGGAGAAAATAAACCCTAATGACTTAAACCACAAATACCATTTCTCAGAAGAAACCTTGGGTATGCTGGTAGATTCTGCCTTAACATTTGCTACTGTGCAGCAGGAATGACTGTTCTTCATATTAGCTGTATGTGGGTGTACCAAGCTTGTGTTTTCTAATTATACTGTTAGCTCCATGACTCAGCCACGTGTCAACTATGTCACCTTTTCCTGGGAAGTGTACTCCTGAAGCAGCCAGTGCTGAGCAGAGGAGCAGAGCAAGAAAACTTGCAGTGCATGCTTTTTTCAAAAAAACCTCAACTTTTCTGAATGTGAACCTGACCTCCACAGGTTAATGAATGCATAAAACATCCCAGCAATGTAGGTAATAATTTTAACAGCTCATAAGGGGAAGGTTGTTTAGTTTTCTTATGATTTGCTATCAGTGTGTTACTGTCAGTGTAATCAGTTCCATGATAAGTATAAATAAATGTCAGTGTTGCCCCTCCTCTGGGGTTCTACATTGGAGAGAGGAGCTAGCTGACCTGATTTTGCCAAAAATACCAGTCTCTTAAACAACTGCCAAAGGGCTTCAAAGTCTTAATAAGGTGGGGTCTTTAATGTTTTGACCTTCTACCAAAGAGGTGACTCCTTACTCTTTCCCAGAAGCATCTTAAACATGAGACTCTAGATAAAATATATCTGTATTATTGAACACTTCATGTTCCCTTCAGTTAATGCTTTAAGCATTTTAATTATTACTTAAGAGAATAATTACATACCTCTTCAATCGTTAGGTTTTTGTCTGGCCCCGTTAGATAAGGGGTGAGAAAAGACTCTGATGGCCTCATTGTGGCGAAAAATCCATTTGCACAGATGATCACTGTGGGATAAATCCAGCTGTGGCTTATGGCTTCCTTCCAGGAATCCATAGTCTACCTAAAAGAAAAAAAGATGGCAAAGAAATGAACAGATGCTCTTCGCAACTGGTAAAAATTCATCTGCAAGTTTACTTTTTAACTAAACCTACACTGCCAGACCCTTAAGCGGGGGCTGTGATGGTGGCATCCAGTTTAATTGGACACTGGGGGACAGATGGCAATGTGATAGCCAAGGGCTGCCTGGAATGGTGACACAGAGGTCTTGCTGATGTGCAGATGTAACTGTACATCAATGATCTTGAACTCTACTCCACAGCAGTGGAGCTGCACACCTGGATCTCCCCGTGGGTAGGGACGCTTCTCACAGTTACTCCTTGAGGTCCAGAGATTCCTTGCCACAACAGATCCTTGGTAAGTGACTAACAGTGTGCTCAGCTTTGAAATCTTGGCTGAGGACTGACTGCACATGTACAATCCTTTAGACACAGGCAGTTGAGCAAATCCAGGACTAGCAGTGGGTCTAGCTGCACCTTGACTCCTCTCTGCGAGGTTTAGAATCCTGTGACTTAACAAGAGGGTCTCCCCACCAGTTCTGTCTCACCTTGTTCTCTGTGCGCTAAGTCAAGCCTACCTTGCTGTCGAGTCTTGTTAAACCACTGTCGCATTTACCGTTGAACTTTGATAGATCAATAGAGGATATTGTTGTGTCTGTCTCAGAAGTGGAGTGACTCCAGCTGTGACACAGCCTGAGCCAATGTTTCTGTCGCTGACCCTGCCTGTGATCACAGATGCAGCCTGTAAATGAATTACTCAGATCAAGGTGCGTTGGCCGTGGTAAACTCCGGTCTTTGTTATTGTCTGTCAAAGGTTGTGAGGTACTTAGGGCTGGGTGCACGTGCTGCAGGGGAAGAATGAAGTTCCATTACAGTCTCATTTCCAAATAAATGAGTGGGCAGACTGTGAGATTAAAGTTCATTCTCAGGGTGCTGTTGATATGCAGCCTGAGTGCCAAGCACACAATGACAGTTCCAGCGTTCTCGCAGACAAAAGAAGCCACCAGCTAGCTCAGCCCATTTCGAGCTCAGTTTCTTCAGAGTGCTTTAACACTCATCATATTTCTTGCACTCCAGTCATTTGGGAGGGTAGAGAAAGACGCAGAAACCATCTGCTCATGGTACCTGCTCAGACTTTGAAAAGAGAAAACTTCACTTTTAGAAATGATGATCAAAAGGAAAAGAAGGCGACTTCTTTCTTCACCGTAGTCAGCAGCAAAAAAAGTCTAAAGAGATTTGGTTTTTTAAGCTTATATTACTTGTTTTGCATTAAAAAGTCAATTTCACTGATCCTGAAAACAAGTGAAATAAGGATGTTCTGAATCATAAGGGAATGAAAGCAAAGCACTAACTGATGTTTAATCATGCAGTTACAAGCTATTTCTTTTAAATTGTTGAATTCCACTTTGTAGCAGGCACTTTCTCAAAAGTGCTTCTACTTGCACTGTAAGATTGTATTTATTAAAACCTAGCATAAATAGTATGTTATAAAGACAGTATTTCTGTGACCTCAGAGGAATGTTACAAAAACCAGCCCTAATCCTTGAAACCTGATTTTAAATGATTGCCTTTGTTATCATCTTTCTCTTACAAATCGTTATATGTAAAGTACAGCCTGTACTACCTTTAACTCAAGACCTAATTTGAAATGTTTTGATATGTTACCTTTTCAAAATAAAAATATATTAAATCCTGGGCTGATCAGTAACATCTGCATAAATGTTTTATCACCTCAAAATGCACTGAGCAAGTGAGTAGCCACCACACTCCCAAATAACTCCAAAGGTAATGAATTACCTGTCAGACCTGTGGCTGTGGTGCATTTCTCGTGGATTCATGTGCAGTTCCTCCTAGGATGACTTTGTCTTGCAGAGGAGAAGTCAGAAACCACCCTTTAGGGTTGGAGGTAGTAAGAAATTTCTGTCTTTTTTTTCTGAAATGTTCTTTCTAAACTTGATAAAATGTTACCAGAATTTAAATAATAATAATAATACTAACTCATCGCAGCTCTTCTTGCTTGCAGAACTTGTCCACGAAGATTGTAGGGGAAGCATTCTCCTTTACAGGTTTTATTAGCAAACTGACTTGTATTTTTATGATAAAGCTATAATACAGTAGCTAATGATTAATAAAACCTGCTATGGCAAGAAAGCAATCAATGATTGCATTCTTTATGTTAATAAATACCTTTAAAAGCTCTCATCTCTGATTCATGGATAAGACAGAGCACCAGTTCAGCACAGCTTGGGCTAACACTGGCCCTCCCCTGTGCATAGTGGAGTGGTCTCTGGGCTCTTGGGGTCTCTTCTGACCATCCTGACCTTGCTAGGGGTTGGGAGGTAGGATATGGAATGTCTCATACTATTAGTTGGCCAGTAATTACTTCTGTATAAGGACTGATCTGTCATTTAAGGGCAAATGGACAATAAGATGAGCTTCTAAATCTGGCTTCTAAGCTAAAAAAAATCAAAACAGACCTGCTTTAGAGAAATGGTGTTGCTTTGCTTTCCTGTACCTATTTTTTCAGACTGGACTCCGTCTGTCTTCCGAGGTTCACTAGAGGATGGAGTGAACCCTGAGGCCAGTGGTAGGATGTGTGTTGGCACTGGCAGTGGGTGCTGTGGCCCTGGCACAGGAGGGGCCCCTTTGTGAGCTCGGCAGGGCCTGGTCTGGTTCTGCAGGTTTGGAAGGTTCTCTCAGTGCTCAAATGTGTGGTGCAACCAGGCAGGCAAGTGCTCAGGGGGGCCAGGTTTGTCTGTGCACTTCCTTCTCTTTCCTTACTGAGGGCTTCTGAGGAAGGGAAGGTGCTGCTGGGTGGGTGTGCTGCCTGCTGGAGGGGGCTGCTGGCTGGTGTTTCTCTGGTAGCCCTGGGTAGTGGTTGGGCAATACCTGCATGCTTTGAATCCAAAGATACTTTGTTCCTTCCTTGTTTGCCCAAACTGGCCTTACCAGCTTGCTGGACTGTGTCTTCACATAAGACTTAGGCACAAACCCACTAATGTTTCAAAGGCAGTTAGTGTTGTATTTCGAGGGGTTGTAGTTATGGGGAGCAACGAGCCCAGCTCTGGAGTTTCATGTTTACATGGAATCCTTTAACATGCTGGAAGAAAGATCAGCACTTAATACCAAAAGTTGCAAGGAGAGGTGGATGCATTGTTTCCTTTTCCTGCAGAATTAGACAGCCTGTGGTTTCAGCCTTGCTTATAACCTGCCAAGACTCAAGTATCTTCTCTCCAAAGAGTGTGTGTGTGTAGGTACACAAACACACAGGTGGATGTGTGCATCTTACTCTTTTAGATTAAATCTCTGATTGCTGGGTAATCAGCAATTACCCTGGGTAATCAGAATTAATTTACCCTGTGAAAGTCCAGGGTAAGACAAGGCCTTGCCTTTCTCTTCCTAACAGTCCTAAGAACTACCCTCTTCCTCCTCTCTTTCCCCCATAATGCTCCCCCCAACTTCCAAACTCAAAATCTTTCTTTTGGAAATTGGAGAGAATAGGATTAGATTTTTTTTTTCTTTAAGGTCTTATCTGTTTTCTGAAGATGGGGCTCTCTACAACTGCAAGCCAAATACACTGGGTCTGCTTGGTTTCTTTGCTCCTCAATGACATCCCACAAACAGAGAAAGCAGTGAGCTCTATCAGAACATAAGAATTTTCATGGTTATTTCTACCACTTTTTCTAGCTCCTTTCCTGCAGCCAACTACTGACATTATTTTTTTAAGTAATAACAAAAAAGTTTCACATGTTGTTGATTCCTGTTGTCAGATGCTACATGGAAATATTTGTTAACTTTCTGTACCAAAGGCAGTTTGACACCATGGCCATGGAGCTGAAAACATTAAGTTTTTCCTTTCTCATTTAAATACAAAGTCTTTTTAACTTCTAGTAAAGGACTGGCACCTACTTCTAAACTAAATGCCTCAAAAGAAGATTCCTACTCACAAGGAAGAATAGAATAAATTAGTCCTTGCTCTCCTGGACTCTGTCCCTCTTTCTTCACGCAGGAGTATCGTGCTCTCAGTTCTGCAATAATAAAAGATACTCACTGCTCAATGCAAACTAAATACATCTGATTTTATGACTGCATTGATTAAACTGTTCTACTTGGAGCCAGTTTACAATAGAGAATGTCCACACCATGCACAACAGTAAACAAAAAGCCTAAAAAATCTAGCCAGGTTCATTTGATCAGATCCTTCTGATCCTTCTTGTGACTTGTAACAAATTGCTTCTCTCCTGCCTGCCCTCACCTCTGGGCACTTTGTCTAGTTGCAATATGTGACTGGTATAAAAAGCAGGTATGTCTGTACAAATGATAGCTTGTGTCTCTACAGGAAAAATATTATTCTGTAAATGCTAGATGTTTTCTATTTTTATTACTTAGGTGTAGGTATTGGAGGCTAGAAGCAAACAGCAGTACAGAAATAACTTTAGCATATGGATATCAATCATATTAAATTAGGTATTCACCATGAAAACTCATTTATAGTCTCTTGTTTCTTCTCCTGGACTAACTGTCCTTTGTGTTGGACTAAATTAGCTGTAGGACTTGAAGTTTCTTGATAAATTCTGAGATGCTGACCCTGCCAAATTCTTGGCCAAGATCAGTGAACCTCCCTCACTTGGCATTCAAAAGCACACATGATGTTTGTTTCAGTTATAAATCTTCTTGGATATTCCTGTTAATCTGGAATTTTCCTGTGTGGAATCAGCCATATTTCTCCACAATGTACTTCTGTCGTTTTAGTCCATACTACTTAAGCCCCTTGGTAGCTTTTTTCTTTTCTTGTTGAAATAGAAAGTCAGTCCTGAATTTAATTTTACTGGGAGCACGAGGAAAGGAGAGGGGCTTTTTCATTTTTTTTGGACTTGGAAGTTTCTCGCTTCTCGGCAGAGATTTCTATGAAGTCAGTGAAGTAGTTGCAGCTTTCAAATGTGGGTCAAGCAACAACTGTGGCTTAGCAGTGTTGGAGTGAAACCCCTGGGATGGGATGTGCAAATCCTGCACGAGGCCCCCTCTGACGTGGGCTGTTCAATTAGGCAGGAGGAGCCTGTCAACCCATCTGCCTGCACTTGGGTAGGAAAGAATATAATGATGCACACACAATCCTTTCTTCCTTGATTCAGAACAAGGGATGTGCAGAGGGAGGACAGACCCTTCACCCACGTGCAGGAGCAAATGTAGTTGGAAGCAGCTTTGCCAGTGCCACACACAGGAGCCAGAACAACAAGGCAGGGTGAACTCTGATCTTTGCTATTGTACACAGGGAGGAGATGAAAAGGTGGTGGTTGTGCTTCTGGGTATAAATTACTGCTGTTAAGCTCTTTATAGGCAAGTAAATAAGAATCTAAAGCAATTTAGCTTTTATTCTTGGCACAGGGCCGTTATGTGAGCTATGAACTGGCATATGTTGTGCTGAAGTGCTGCAGTGATTCAGCGCAGCTTTCCAGGGCTGTGTTGAACGTTCTTCTTGCACTGCTGTTCCCTGCATGCTGCAGCCTGAGCTCTTCTCCCAGGAGGGCCTGGCCAAGGAGCCTGCCTGCCTCCTACAGCCGAGTCAAATAGCCTGTGACAATCTGCTCTCTGGATTCATGCTCAGCATGGTTCAGCCGCTCTTTGCAACATCTTGCTATTTTCCTTTTGAATTTGCTTGAGACAAGCACACAAATGCTTCTGATCATGAAAATCCCGTGTATGACTGCAAAGTAGCTGCCATAAATTAAAAACTGGGAGAGGGAGAGAAAAAGGCAGAAGAATTAATGAAAAATGCTTTAGGGAAATGCTGCTGCTTCTGGAGACAGCAGACACTATGATTTTCTTTACCTGTGTTCTGGCACAGTTTCTCTATGTTCGAGTTTTTGCTTTGTGATTTGCTTTTCCAGCAAACAGCAGATATTTGTGGAATGAAGAACTGCCCCTTGCTTCCATTCCTTATGCCTCTTAATAAACATCAGAGGGGGAGCAGAATAGGAACAGATATTTTTTTCTATTAGTGCAAAATATAGAATTAGTTTTGTTACCCACGTAGTCATGAATAATGTAAGTGAAGAATCTGAGTTCATCCTTGTTTTGCTCTTACTTGCACATTTCAGCGCTGTCACCACAGTGGTTTCTGTAAATACACTGTGACTTTGTATCACTGTTTCCAACAACAGTGGCAAGGCTATTTATGAGGTCCTACATATTCCTGCCTTTCATTTTAAAGATTTAATTTTTAATGTTTGATTCAATCCTTATTCTTTTACAGTAACTTTGGCCTTCTTTGTGCAGAATATTTGGATAGCTTTAGTCTTCTTCAAATCCAAGGGAGTAGGAAGCTGCCCCAGCTGAGAGCCCATCTGAGAAAATGCAGAAGTCAGTACATCTCAGGTGACTTCAACATGGGTGGCATTGGGCTGGCTAAAATCTAAGCCACTGTTGTGAGATAGGATATCCCATCCCAAATTAAGTGCCCAGGCTATGGGCAGAAGACTATTACACATGTTGAGATACAGACCAGGTTTGATCCTGAGCTGGAATTAGAAGTCAGATGTCCTTTTCGCTTGAGCTGAAATAACTCCAATAATCCAGGCTGTGTCTCGTGGTTTGAACAGCACTGATAACATGTGGTTATGTTGATTCTGCATCTGACAAAACCACTCTGAGTTTTTAGGGAGAGAGGATGTTATTCTCTGTCCTATCAATGACCAAAACTGGTCAGATAACAGGGCCTGAATAATTACGTTCTGGTGTATCTCCTTTTAAAAAGTCAAAGACCAGCATCTGTAATCCTAAATGCATTAAAAGGCAAAAGGAAGAATTATGACTGACATGTGAGAAGAACAAGATGTGCAGATTTCTATAGAAGAAAGAAGGAATTAAGTTGTCCTTTGGCATAGGAATACCTTTCTTGGTAAACTTTTGAAGACAGATTGGCAAAGCAGTAAATAGAATATAAGGTAATAGCACTTACCTGAGTCACTATGTCCAGCCCCAGGCCTCTCGAATCCACGACAACTACTGTAAGAATGGTCTGAATCACCAGGGCAATGAAGTTGTTGAAACCAAACATCAAAGCATAGCGTTCCATGCTCAGATTGATGGCAATCTGGAACCTAATGTGAGACTGGCAGGTCAGTGACTTTCCAGTTATTGCCCTCCAGTCAGTCAGTGAAGAGAAATGATTCATGGAGATGATACATCAAGGACACAGTAAACAGTGCTTCATTTGTTAGTTTGCTTCCTTGCTTACTCTAAAATAGAAAGCCTTTAGTACCATAGTGTATTTTGATGGGGTTTTTTTACTTGTCTGTGCTGCTTTTCCAAACCATACTATCAGGTGCTTGGTACAATATCAGTTCTCTTTAATCTTTTGCTCCTTCTCAAACCCCACAGACTCCATGGCCAGGCAAAGCCATGACCTGATCTGGCAGTGGCAGCAGTTCTGCCCTGGCTGGGATGTCAGACCAGCAGGTCACTGTGAGTATCTTCCAACCAAATTTTCTGTGATGATGTGAGTCACTTTTTGCTTTGGGGCTTGACAGTGGAGGTAGCATGCTGTTTATTTCTGTCAAGAGCCTGTAGATTTTACTGTCAATATCTTTTTTGATGATAGTTAGAAATCTTTCCCTGCAATATCCACCTGCAGAGTTTATATCTGAAAAAAAGGGTATTATTCCTTCAGGACTCACTTTAATTGATTTTAGCATGTTTTTTATGTGCAAGCTTTGACTCTTTTTGTTGTTGTTGGTTTTGGTTAGTTGGTTGGTTTTTGTTTTGTTTTGGTAGAATATTTTGAAATACTTCAGGTGTGATTTACTATAATGTGGTAGCAATAAACCAAAATGAAAACAAAGAGTTCACTTGGCTTCATTTGAGATAGGCATAATCTTGCCATGCATTATAATTTTAGCAGGTTTTTTAAAATGGTTTCTGACTAATTTTGAGCTTTGACATAAAATGCATCTGGTATATCTGTTAATGAACTAGTGTGGTATGTCTAAAGACATTCCGAGCGATTAAATAACTGGAGTAATAACATATTTATTGCACAGATTAGATATAATATTTGCTATTAATATTATTATTATAGCTTGGTCTCCTAAGAGATCTTGTCCAGTGTTCTCTTTTACTCCTTCTTTACATCCTAATATCTTTAAGGATTATGTGTATAAAATTACACTGGGAAATGCTTTATGTCAAATCTCTTCTGAATTCATGCAGTTCATAGCATGCTAAAAGGTTTATCAGCAGGTGGTCTAGACATTATAGGATGGCTGTCAAGGTATGCTTGTCCCTGTTGTTCACTTTGCATCTTTCCTGCAAGAAAGAAGGAAAACAGCTTCTGCATTTTGCTGTTACCATTCCCTTTAGTACTAAAGTTACCTTGTACTTTGTTTAACTTCTGCCTAGTTAAACATTCAATTTTATGAATATTCAAAAATTTTGATAATTTTTCTTTTGTGGTTGTTTAGAAGAACGAAAGCAACATAATCAGACATTTAAGTGTCCTTGTATTTACCTACACAATTATGTCTAGCATTAGGTCCTCTTTCTCTGAGGAAAAGGAAGGATGCCCAAAGCAAACTCGAGGTAGGGTCAGCATTCTGTGCATAAAGGCAGCACTGTCAGGTTTTATACTTACGTTGCTATTGTCAGCAGGAGCATATAGCAGGCCTTGAAAATGAGATAGCCAGCGTAACACGCCCAGATGTTGGTAGAGAAGTGCATGAGAAACAGAGAACCGGCATCTACCGCAGAGAAGATCCCTAAAGCCAGTTCTCCAAACAGGTCCCAGTTAATTTTCATATATTGTACTAGGAAAGACGTTACTGAGCCTAGAAAAAGAGAAAAATGTGTAAATGTTGTATGTGTTCCATAGCCTGTATCACCAAATCTTGCCACCCTCATGTACCAAAAGGCAATGCTGAATAATGATGCAGAGTAGTTCTGAAATTTGAAAGCATTTCTAATTACTTCTGCAGCCATAGAGATGACTGGTCACTTTTAGACAACTGCATAAATCACGTCTCTGCCTTAGTTCTTAATGCTTTATTCCACTTGACAGGATAGACTGTAATGTAGAAGGATTATTTGGCTGTCTGCACCCAGCACGCATCTCTAGAGAGAGAACTGGGAACACAGTTTGGAACTCAAAAAGTTTCTTACAGCTTCTCCTAGCTTACTGCACAGTTAGGCTAGTAAATCTGCTAATGTAACAATTTAGCTCTGTGCACCTCATAAAGGAGGTAAGCTGTCAAAAAAGTGAATTTTGTGAGGTATCAGGGAGTATATTGAAGGAAACGAGAAAGGATAAGCACTGTTTGCTCTTGGTGGGCCTCCTAGAAGATGCATCTGTTGCAAAGATAAGCCACATGATTTAATATCTTCTGTATTTCTACATGGAGAAACAGGCAATTCCATGACAAAGAGGAATTTGTCAAGGAGAAAAATATTCTAATTTATGCTTCAGTTGGTCTACTTAATTGCCTGCCTCAAGACAAGAGTAGTATCTATTTCTCTTTAATGACTGTAAGGGTAACCTGAATGACTAGGTGTGATGTAGACATGTTTATTTTCCCTGGTGGATCACACCCCAAAGTCTTGTGCAAGTTCTCTACAGCAGCACAATGTGATTATGTGAAACCCTGCCAAGGCAGGGTGGTGTAGTCTGATGTTACCTTTTGATAACCTCACTTTGCTTGTGCATCTGCTCCTGGTGCAAAAGTGGAATACTTAACATCAGTAGCATAAGGAATTCAATGGGTCTTTTTCTGCAAATCTCTGCATCTTGCAATGACTAAAATTCTTCTTTTTTTCCAACTGCACAAGAGTATTTCACTAGAAAAAGATCTTAATTAGAGGATTATGTTCTTTCGGTGTAAAATGTTTAGGAATAACTTCTCCCATCTGTGTAAGCTGATAGCATTGTTATGGGAACAGTGCCATACTGTTTTGGGAAAAAAACCCCACCCAATAGCCTCATCCAAAGACACACGAGTGCCTCTGAATGGATTTACCAACTGGATATAAAGTCTGTGTAACTTGCACAATTTCTGCATACTGCTAAGACAGAGTTAGTTATCTGGTCCTAAAGAAAAAGCAGCATAGCTCATGTTTGAACTGTTGTAGATCAAAGAATGAGGTCTGGAAGGCATAGTGTGCGCAGTGGCTCCCTGGAGTGCCTGCGATAGAATGGCACTTTAAAAGCTTTCTCAAGTAAAACTTTAGAGACTGCCTTTGTGATCAATGTTTAGACATTAACTTACTCAGAAAAGTTGCTAGTGCTTCGACAGCTCCATTGTACACTGCAGAGCTGTGAGAGGGGGCTCGGAAATCCCACAGCACTTGGACATAATTCAGGACTTGGTTAAAGCCGGCCGT